TATATCCTCAAAGGAGCACCTGAACAAGAGTCCCCAAAGCTGTTTCTGCAGAAAGTACAGGGCTCATATTTAAGCCACTTATTAAGGTACTGTAAGTAACTCCACTAATACTATTCTGAAGTGGGTTTTTGTGTCACAGTCATGAGCTCCACATTCATTATCTACATCACTTAATGTATCTTTTTTCCTTTTTGTCTTTAAATGGGATCATGGAAGAATTAATTTGTCTGGAATATGCACTGTTATGTGTCTGTTAGCTTTTGATCTAAAACAGATTTAATGTTTATATCTGTTTTTCAAAGGGCATGATATAACTTTTCTGTCTTTGTGTACAAGCAACTATACTTTGTACCTCCCTTCTTTCTCACTCCTCCTTCACCAGGAGCCTCACTGCTGCTCCGTTGTTCCAACCCTCTGGCCCCAGGGTAACACTGCCTTTCAAGTGGGCTCTGGGAACAGGGACAGGAGGGACAGATGTTACTGGGGCTGGTAGATGTTGAGAGGTGTGAACAAGAAATGGCAGCATATGCATCTGATTGTCGCACTGAAGATTAGCTAGCTGACTTTCTTATACCGTTAGTAGTCCAAGATCAGAATAAGGTTTCAGAATAGGCCCTGTTCCATAGAAAAGTGTGTAAGTAGAACTGATAAAGGTGTCTCATGTTGTCTTGTTGCCTATAAGAATCTTCTGAGTATTCTTTTGCAAAGCAAGATTAATAGTGAGTTTGTAATGTCTTGAAACAAACTTCACCTGTACCATTCACCTTTCTTGCTTGGCTGCTTCTTTGTCAATGCACTATATATGGACCACTGAACTAAACCTTTAGCAGTACATCTTATCTGCACTGCAGCTTATGTTTTCAACATCTTTTCAGGTTTGCAAAGTAAGGCATTACTAACAGCCAAGAGAAGCAGCTCCAGAGAACTTTCCCTGCAGATGTGCCATTTTTCTGCATAACTTGCATGTTTTCCTCAATTGTTATGAGTCATCCCAGTGTGCTGCCTTGTATCTCCTTTTTATATTGGTGGTTAGTGTATACGAAAGTAGTTTGCATTTTTTGTTGTAGTTTATGCTTTCATCTCCTGCATTGCCCCCTCATTTTTGCTATTAAATTAAAGTTAGTAAGCTAGCAATCTACATTTGTCTTATGTATTTCTAAGCTCTGTTATGATAGCAGGCACCGGGCTTACCTGTTTTCTTTTCGTGCTTCCATGAAGTTCCACTTTGGTTGTCAACAATTTTAAATAAAGGGTAGGAGTTAGTAAAAGGATTTTGTAATTCAGAAGACTGTCATAATAGTAGTTTTCAACACTAGAATAAACAGGCAACTCTTAAAATACATATTAATGCTGCAAATGGTTTTCAAAATCTAGAAGCAGTGTTTAAGGAGAGTGGCCTATCCATAATAATTTCATTTTTCTTAAGACAAAACCCTTGTATACTACTTTTCTCAGTCTGCTAATTATCAGAGGGGATGGAAATTTAAATTGCTGTTGTGGATGGGAGGTAGACAGAAAGTTCTGTGTAACATTGCTAATTCCTCCTGCTGTGTACCTGCAGTGTTCTCCATGAGTTATTTAATGGTTTTATTTTACATCCCTTATCAGAGGCAAGTAACTGCACTTAGTGCCATAGGTGGCTGGAAAACATGTTGCATTTTCTCTGACTTTCAAAAGTCACCTAGTCAAGAGATGAGACTCTCATCCTATGAATTTCAGATACACTATTTTAAATTGTTTATGGTTTCTCCTTGAAGGAGGGAAAGGAGAACCCTCACGCTGAATATAGTGTAAAAGGAAATAACACTACTGTGGTACTACAAATACTGTAATGTAATAAAATCAGGAATACAGCAACAATTTGGGGTTTTAACTTGAATCAGTTTCACACTAGCAGAAGTACTAGGTTTTCTGTAAGTCATGTTCTGCACTCCACTATGTATACGGTAGTTCGAATATGAATCCCTCATGCGTGCTATTTATGTTCTATATGAAATGGCTCCCAAACCTCGCTCTAATACCACTGTTGCTGTGTCACCACCTTGTGGTGAAGTTGCTGTATTGCTGTACAGTAGTTATACGCATAAAAGATGAGGTTTCTCCATGTGTGTTTAAGATGTATAACTCGACATTTTTGACCATAATTATTCCTGACTTTTTGCAAAAATGAAGACTGTGTATCTGAAAAGAAGAGAAGGTAGTTAACCTTCATTATGTTAGGAAAGCTGCATACAAGTAGTCAATATGTCTGCAGTGCAAGAGGAAAGAAGGTATTTAACATTTCCAATGTAGAATAAAAACGGGTCTCTTGTATATGAAAGACCACTTATTTCTGGATTAAATATAAGTATCTAAAAATTCACAAGTTTAAATGTGGTCAGCAGTTGACCAAAGTGTATAATTCAACAGAAACCCAAAATCCTCTTACCCTGTGTATTCAGGAGAAATGAGAGCAAAGATTTACAACTGGGAGAAAAAGTGGCTTTAGACCTTGCTGAATTGGATGTCAGACATAATGTCTGGAGTTTGACTGAAATGCTAGTTTTAAAGAAATTTTAACGAGAACTTAAGTTCGGTGTTCTTTTTGCCAAGATATTGAATTTGAAATTCAGAGTTTGCTTTCTCCTTTTATCATAGTTTGTATAATAGAACAGGTATTTTGGGGGGTTTATATAACTCAAAATTTATACATAGTTTGTTGGGGTTTTTTGTTTTATTTTGTTTTGTTTTAACTGGGAAATAAAGTGAAGTGGTAGAGACATTACTATATATAATTCCTTGCCATTTGCCTAGTTTTGCTGGTAACCTGTTACCAGAAACCTGCAGTAATAATGTAATCCCAAACTTTTTGTTTGATGTTATAATAAGCAATGTGGGCTGCATTTTTTTTTACTTGTATCATGATTCATTGATCAAAGCTTCTGCCTAATTTAGGCCGCTTGAACCTTTTGATAACCACCGCTTCGGTGCTATGTTAGTATATCTTGCATGTTAACCATTTGATAGATCACTTCCCTTTCTGTGCAGAATCTGCACACAGCCCCAGCCCTACAAAGAGAAGCAAGTCAGAAGCTTATCCTTTTAGGAGAAATCAATATATCTTCTTGTAGTCCAGTGGAATTATAGATGTAACTTTCAAAGATATAATTCCCAGATTTCAAATCTGGTTTTCCTTCAACTGGTATCTCCTTGGTCTGTGTAAACAAACTAGTCGGTCTTGTTAGAAAGATCTGCGTTGCAGTTCTCGGTGCAAGTGTACTGTCAACTCATGCCTGTATAAAAACATTACTGTACTGTACACTTTTTTTTATGTCAAAAAATGAGACATTTTACAAGTTCATGTCATAAAACATCGCACCTAGTTAGTAAGGATGAACATTACATCACAGGTAATAAATTACAATACAACATAGCAAAGCTAGGTTGTGCATGTGTCCTTAGTAGAGAAGGTAGACAAAAGCAATGTTCTAACCAGCTTTCAACTGAAAAAAGTCCAAATGCTCATGATGGCTTTTGATTTTTACATTGTGTGCAAATAAAAATGACTAAGCAATCTGTTGTGGAACAGATACTAATGTGGAAGCTGCAGGTATATTTACAAGTGAGGATAGATGCTTTTTCTTTTTTCTTTTTTTTTTGTCTTACCTTCACTAAAAAAGAATAAATTGTATCTTGTTATTCCTGATATTAAACCAAATGTTTAAATATTATTTTTGAACACTAAGTTCATCCAGGGTAAAGTTTGAACAGCAAAAGTCCCATCAGTCACTTACTGATGCTTGCTAACACTGAAGTTGCCCCAGGGAGCTATCTCAAGGGCATTTGTCTTCTCACAACTGCTGTCAGGGCCTTGTGTGTTTTAGTAGCTAAAGAGCAGAGTCATTATTTGGAAATATGAATTGGCAGTTTGATCTATGTATACGTCCTTATTGCTGCACACTGACCCTTGTACATTCATTCTTTTCATAATACCATTTTTGATTTATCCTGTAATTTGATCTGCCTATGACAAAATGTTTGCTATCAATGTCATGATGCATTGGACATTTGATGGATTATGTATCCAAATAAAATGACTGTGGGATTGTTTATGGCTTACTTGCATTCACTGGGATCAAAGTTCTGTGTACTGAGCAGGGAACTATGTGGAAGATGGTAAAACTAGTGCAGAACTTACTTCAGTTGCTCAGTAATTGCATGGTGGTACATCCATGCCATGTACCAGTTTGATTTGACATTGACTGGCCTGTGTATGTTTTTCCTTTCATTTTTTGTTTTGTAAAACATCTTTGTTGTAGATGCTTTGTCTGCTCTAAAAAGGTGCATGATACAATAATTTGAACTGGTTATTGTCTAAGCTGATCAGACCCAACTTAGATACATGTGTTTTCTCATGGTTTTCAGGAAATTCTTCAGTACAGGGGTTTTTTAATTGTATTAAAAGGCCTGACTGATCATAAGCTAAGCTTTAGAAACAGTCTTTTCAATACAATAGAGAAATAAAAGTTCAGTAAGGAAATTAATATAGACATCAAGACTTCAAAAGCAATTTCTTTTTTTTTGAAGTTAGGTAACAACCTCTTATGGGTCATCGTAGTTTGCAGAACAGGACAAAAATTAGAAAAGGAAAAGCACATTTATTTTTTTTTAAAGGAAAAATAATATTAGGAAACAAGTTTGGGCTTCAGTTGCTTAATTTAGGTGATGACTGTGCCTTGAACTCAGTATTTTCATATTGCCAGAATGAATAAGCAGTAATTTCTTCCATAATTGCTTATATGGACTGAGCATTGCTACTACTGAACAGATACTTTCTTAATATTCAAAAAGATCAAATTAGCCCAATATAAAATATGTGGAAACAAGCACAGGTTTATGTAGCATAGCAGTAGCCATTAGATTGCTGAAGGCTATAGCTTTACAACATGTTGTTTTCAACCAGTTTCAACTTTCATGTGAGCTATAACCAAAGCTGTTGGGTATTTTTCTGTTTTACTCAGCTGGAAAGTCATCAATTCCAGGCAAGACTACAGACCCAGGATAAATCAGTGCATTTCAGAAGCACTGATGAATTTATTTGTATTTCTTCAAGAAATGTCCCACTTCAAGGAACAAAACCCTGGCAAGGTAAGCACTCCCAAGTAATATTAAATGTTCAATATTACTTAATAAAAATGTGAGAAAAATTAAAAGAAAACCAAAACCAAACCACATTATGATACATTCAGTTATGAGTTTCTGCTAATTTTTTCTATGGAGATCACAGATAGGTTGTCAGTGAGTGACGGTGCTCACAGTGAAGTTTATATCAGTACAGTCTCACCCTTTACAGCTGTTGGAACCTCACCAGTCATTCCATGGAAAGGAACTTTTAAAACATCACAATTTAATAACAACTTGGGAAAAAACCCCAAAACATAACCAAAAAAATGTACAGTTCCTAGATATACATTTTCCCAAATAACTAATCTTCAGGAATACCTGCACAAGTGTTACATGATAGATGAGAATTTCTCATATTTAATTGTGATAATTTTTCTTCTATACAGGTATAGTTGGTGGGTTTGTTTGGTTTTTACTGGAAAGACTGAGCTGGAGAATTAACCATTTTATTGCAGTTCAGCTCCAAAAGCAAATTGATTCTTTCTGAAAACTTTCGACAGATCAATTCTGTACTCAGCATTGTGCAGTTTGGAAGACACACTGTATGTCTTAGTCACAGCAGAGGCCAAATCCCAGGTTTTACACAGAAAATTCAGCTCAGTCTTGTTGTAAACAGGGATGCTAGAGTAGCCAAAAAGCATCAAAAGAGTTCTCGCCAACACATAAAACAGTTTCTTTAAGCAACACAACAGGGGAGAGATGCGTATTTGCAAGAAAGATTTTTTTGCTTTTGTAAGCATCCAGCATGCATTCATTGCAATAATTGAATTAGTGATTTGGATTTTTTCCTGCGTATCTGCTGTTCAGCGAGGTTTTTTTTGTGTAATGAAAGTGAAGTAATTTTAGTAATTTCAGCAAAAACCATGAGCTTGTTAAATCTTAATAGTAAATGAGTAAAAATAGCATATTTTTATAACAGGAGAGAGGGTACATCCTAATTAGCCGAAATTAACTGTCTGGTGCTTATTTACACCAGAAGTGTTAAAGATTTCCTAATATAAAAAACCAAACCAAAGCCAACAAAACCTTCAATTTTCCACTACATTCTAGATCTCATTTAGCATGCAACATTTTTCTTTTGCAAAATTATCTAAAGATTTAAGCAGTAGAAGTGTTAATAGCCAATTTTAATGTTTTTGCCAGTTTTGCCTACTGGTCTGCAGTGTATGTACATTTTTCACTGTCTTGGGAAGTTACATTCCTGGAGTTGTCCTCTCCTATGTCCTGCGTAAGTAGAATCTCTCTTTCAATTATCATGTATGTACGTGGTTTGTTCATTATTTGGTCTCTGTATAGGGAGTATTTATTTATTTATATTTACACACATGTGCAAGTTTGCAGATGACACCAAGCTGAGTGGTGCAGTTGACACACCTGAGGGACAGGATGCCATCCAGAGGGACCTGGACAAGCTCAAGAACTGAGCCCATGTGAACCTCATGAGGTTCAATAAGCCAAGTGTAAGGTCCTTCATCTTGGTTGGGGCAACACCTCTGGGATCCCTAGTATGAGAAGGACATGGACCTGTTGGAGCAAGCCAGAGGGCCATGAAGTTGATCAGAGAGCTGGAGCTCCCCTTCTATGAGGAAAGACTGAGAGTTGGGATTGTTCAGCATGAAGAGAAGGCTCCAAGGAGATCTTACTGCAGCCTTTCAAGACTTAAAGGGGCTTATAAGAAAGATAGGGACAGACTTCTTAGCTGAGTCTGTTGTGACAGGACAAGGGGGAATGGCATTAAACTAAGAGGGGAGATTCAGACTAGATACAAGGAAGACGTTTTTTATGATGAGGGTAGTGAAACACTGGAACAGGTTGCCCAGAAAGGTGGTAGATGCCCCATCCCTGGCAACATTTCAAGGCCACATTTGAGCAACCTGGTCTAGTGGAAGATGTCCCTGCCCATGGCAGGGGGGTTGGAACTGGATGAGCTTTAAGGTCAGTTCCAGCTCAAACTATTCTATGGTTCTGCGATACATATACATACATATGTAGGTTCTGACAAGCGCTTTTTGTCATATGGAACTCAGGTTAGAAGTTTTTTCAGCATCTTGATTCTGGCATATTACATAGTCATGTTTCTCAGGTAGAGATACCAAAATCAGACTAACTCGAGATAATGCTAAATGTTACAGTGATCATAAACTGGGCCTTAATAAGGAAGTAAAAAATGTGTCCATTGATATGAATACAGTGGTATGTTCTGCAGCGAGCCATAGTGACTCCTAGAAACCGGACTGGACATTAACAGTTTGTCTCACATGGTCCTTTGTCCTGGTTTCAGCTGGGATAGAGTCACTGGCAGAGCACGAGAGACTGAAAAGCCCTTGATCAGGGTAAGTGCTACTGAGCAACAACTAAAACAGCAGTGTGTTGTCAGCATTGTTCTCAGACTGAAGCCAAAACACAGCACTGCACCAGTTACTAAGGAAGAAAAGTAACTATCCCAGCTGAAAACAGAACAGTATTTAACAGTGCATTTTTATGTAAAGCTAATGATATTATGTAAAATTAGTAGTTTATGTATATAAATGCATTGTTTAAGCTTTATTGAGTAACTTCACATAAAGCAATATTTCAATACAATTATTCTCTCTATCTTCATTTTTATCACAGTATTGTGTGCCTTTTTATGTCCCTTCCTTAAGTGCAATGAATTTGGACAGAAAGTGTACAACAAAATTAAGACTGTTCTGATGAAACTAGATTTTGGAATAGTGGAATATATCAACCAGAGGCAAAAAGAGAGATCTGGTGAGTAATTAAGTTTAGTTTAAAGTAATGTATTTCCGTATTCAGAGAAGATTTTATTCACCTTGCAGACAGTTTGGTTTGTTCTGTGAAGCCAATTGTAGAGGTATTTCCTGCAATATTGGACCTGGCTACTGTTCTTAGCTTTATGCAGAGTAATAATGTATGTTGGATCTTTGGGTATGGTAAAAAGATGCTATTTAATTGAAGGAAACAAGACAAGACTGATGGTTCCCTTCATACTTGATTAAATGTACTGCTTTTAGGTTTTTAGAGAAGAATACTTGCCGTAAGTATGGCAATGCTTGTCTCTGTTTAGCTACAGTAAATGTACCCAGGAGAGAGATTCACTCAAGAACACAAAATAAGTACATAGCAGAATTCTTTTTCAGAGACTGAACTCTATTCCAGTATCTAAATCCACCTTGTTTTCACTTCAAACAGCAACAAGAATTTTTCTTCCTCAGATACTCAAAAGCCATTTAAGAATTGCTGTAAGACAGTAGCTACAAATTAATCAACATTTTTAGTTAGCAGGGGAAGAAATCAGTTTAAAACAAACTCCCAGCTATCTTGCCTGAAATCTTTGTAACATTGGAAACTTTGAGATTTTAATTGTTAAAGCTGTTTCAAGAAAAATACTTACATGAACAATGTTACCTTTAGTTTGCTTTTTATGTGTTCTACAGCTTTGGTAATCAAACCTTTGTAGGGTAGTCACATTACTTGCAGGTAGCCTACCCTATTTAATTAGTATTACATCAGTAGATTTCACCTCTGCTTTAAAACATGCATTTCTTGTAACCATTTATCACAGTATTCTGTTCCTAGACACAGTGAGAGGAACCATCTGCTTTTTCGTCTTCTCTTACATGTAATGCAGTAGTTATTGAAATAAGGACTAATGCATTGAAAATTTTCTTTTGTGTATTACTCACTTTGTTCTACTTTTAAGTGAAACTAGCAGAGAGAGATCAGGGTATTGTTTCATGAGTTTCATAAGCCAGCACTGGGAAAATGGTTGAGGTTAGGTTTGTTCTTTTCTGCCTCTCACCCTCCAGTTTAATTTAGCCCAGACAAGTTCCTGACTCTGCTTTCCCACTTGGGTTCACCACATGGATTCATAAATCCTTGTAATGGCACAACAGAGGAAACAGAAAGTTGCAAAAATAAGCAACCAGGAATAATATGACTGTGTTTTTCAGGTTATATTGGTTTAAAATATTCATGAGGCTTTTCTCAGATGGAGTGTCCTTTAACCTGTAAGGAACAACATTTTACCAGACCTCAGAGGATGTTTTGTATGCATATTTGCATAGAAATGTGAATGCATGGTAGATGGGTGCAAAGAAGAAGGGGTTTGTGAATGACAGTTACATGCAATTATATAGAAAATTGCATTAACACGCAACAGAGACTTCTGAAGTAAGTACAATACAAGTAAATAAATCGTTAGAATGTATTTCAGAGCAATATCCTATCTCCTGCTTTGGCTGCTGCACCATGCATTTTGATAAATATCTAGCCTCTCAGCCTCATTTCCCTCACCTTAGTAGCGTATTACGTGAATGATGCACTGTATCAACAGGTGAAAGTTTACAGTACTGCGCAAGCTGTGTGACAGAGAGCACACACTGAACCTGGAAGTCCATTGTTATGAGTAGGATAAAAAATATTTTTCTTTTCTTTCAGAAACAGCAAAAACAAAACCCACAGAAGATGACAGTGAATTAGACATATCAGCTCTGTGTCCTAAGGTGACTTTTTTTCAGTCAGCCCTGTCTTGCTTTTAGAAATCTATATAGATAATGGAAAGTATCTAGACTACTGTCTCTGTTCTTCTGTGGAAGACTTTTAACCTGCCCAGGAGGCTGTGTTCCTGAACTAAGCAGTATGCTTTAAAAGTGATTCATGGTCTCCATCTTTAGGCTTATACTATTTAACTTAAACTTTTGTGACTTCTGGCCTTCAAGGTAATGGTTTCCTTGGCCTACTAAACTAAGACACTGTTTACTTTGTATTGGCTGTAGAATGATTAAACTAGAATTTAATAGCAAAGTTGGCTATTTTTATTTGCAACAGTGAAATTGCAGTTAATTTTTATCAAAATATAAAGGGAAACATTTGTAGAAAACCTGAATAATTTGTCAGATACTTTTGTATCACTTGTCTGATCAATTCAGAGATAGTACAACTCAGTATATTGCCTATAAATATCTTTCTAAATATGTATGAGAACACAGTAATATAATATCTCATTTCTGTCTTAATATTCTAAATAACTGTATGGCAAAGTATTTTCCATTATAGTCAGAACACTGGCTGGTATAAAAAAGCTCAGGTTTATAGGAATTCTTAGGCAGTATTGGATCAATAGTCATTAGAGCCTGACTTTGACAGTGGTCACTTTGAACTTATTGTGAAAAAAATTGTGTTCTAAAAAATAATAAATTCTATCCCATGGGCTAAAAATTTGTAGCTGACATAATTTAATGTTGTTGGATAAATTCATAAAGGATAATGATTTTTTATTTAGCTAATTTATATGTGTATTTTGTATTTGCAGGCTCAGTCTGCTTTCTTTACAGTAGGAATTTCAGAATGAATAACTGGAATTTTCTGTGCTTTAGTATAATACAGCTATAGGTTATTACAAGGGGAATGCTTCACTTCTAAGTATTGTATTCTACTCTTATTTTCATATTTCTGCAACTAAACTTAAATAGGAGGCAATTTGTATTGCTATGACATGAAAGAGACTTCTTTTTCAGTGCCTAAGCACTGGCTCCCTGTAGTGTGATTTTTTATTTTTTTGTATAAGAATGCCATGTATGGGCCTTTTATTTTGTGTAGGTTAATCCTGCAGTTGTTGCCAAAGAGCTGTCAGTGTCTGACACAGATATATCGGAAGTATCTTGGACTGATAATGGGACCTTTAACTTATCTGAAGGGTATTCTCCACAGACAGACACATCTGATGGTATGTAATGGCTTCATCTATTTCATCAATGAGTTGCGGTCATGTAAGTTACCTGAAAATTATTAGAGAGTTTGAGGACAAGTTTTTGGGGTAGCTGGTTTTTGTTTGTTTGTTTTCCTGTACAATGAATTTAACATTAATTCCAGTGTTTTATATAATTTTGGATACATCTTGTGTAAGAACTGTCCTCATCTTAAAAGTAATAAAGCACGTCAGGAAGTTGATGTATAAGTGATGTATAAGAAATCTTTCTAAATAAGTAAGTAGTGGTGGGTAAACCAGGCATATTGAGTAACTGCCAGATTCAGCTCTCCCACCAATGCTTTCAAGCAAGTAAACCTTTTAATTTAGTACCAAAGCTTTTGTGGGTGAGCTATGCAACTAAAAGCTGAGGAAGAAAAAGTAATGCTTTGAACTGCTCAACAGCCAATTAAAGAAAGTATTATTAGGTTTTGTTATTAGAATGCTAATGAAGACAGCCAGCAATAAGGCTAAATTAAGTGTGAAGACTAAGACTAGGAAAAGATCCTCAAGCACTTGTCTTGATCTTGAACAGATCTTTAAGTTCTTTTTACAAACCAAGCTTTCAATGAGCACTTTGCCTGAATTTAAGGACATCAGTAGTTTGGTGTAATCTTGTCTGTGTACCTGGATTTGTTACTCTGCTTGTTTTGCATTTCTTTTCTCCTAGAAAAAGTTCACTGTAAATCAAAAGTAAGGTGATATTACTTAATGACATCATACAGACAAAATTCATACTTTTATTTTGTTAATATTTCAAGTTGTATATAGGTAGCTTTATATGATCACAGAATCAGAAGTTGGAGTGAGCCGTTGTCGTTCATCTCATTTAACCTCTTATTCAAAGCAGGCTCAACTTCATGAAGTCGTTCAGGGCTGTGACCAGTTTGAAACTTCAGCCACCCCCAGTGGTAGAGATTGAGCAACCTGCCTGGACAGCCTTTTCCAGTATTTGCTCACCCTCATGATGAAAAAGTTTGCTTATGATCAAAAATTTCCCATGTTCTAGCTTGTGTAAATTTACTCACCTCCTTCCACTGTGCACCTTTAAGAAGTGTCAGGCCCTATCTTCTCTTTATCTTCCCATTCAGTAGTTAAAGACAGGTATGTGATCCTCCCTTTCCACCTTCTCTTAAGGCCAAACAAGCCGATTTTCTCAGTATCTCCTCATACTTCCTGTTCTCCAGCACCCTAGTAATTGTGCTGGCCTTCTGAGTGACTCACTCCAGTCCTTCGTTGTCTGTCTTGTACTAGAGAGGTCAAAACTGGATGAAGTATTCCAAATGTGTGCTCTCAGGTGCTGAAGAGAAGGGGGAAATTACTTCCATTGACTTTTTTACTTCATTTTTTTTAGGAGAGCTCAGTCTGTGGTTGGCCTTCCTTTCTTTGAGGTCATGCCACTGAATTGCCGTCCACGGATCTTTTTCTTGAAAGCTTCTTTTTGTCTCATTGCCCCAGCCTGTACTGCTGCACAGGTTATTCCATCCCAGACGCAGGACTTCACATTTGCTTGTGTTGAATTTCATGATGTTTCTTTTCAGCCTGTTCATTTTGCCAGCCATTTGTGGTCCCCATGAGGGCACCCTGCCCTCCAGAATGTCAGACACCTACCCTACAGCAGTTCCTTTCTGCCCATGAACTTGCTGAGAGTGCACTCCATCCTGTCATCTGTGTCATTAACATACATTGAACAGTGGTGATTTCAGTAGCTTTGAAAGACACCGCTAATAACTGGCCTCCAGTTGTACCCTGTATCACTGATCACAGCTGTTTGACCTTGGCACTCTCCTTTACTGTTCACTTACCCACTTTGCTCACCAATTTGGCTGTAAGGATAATGTGAGAAACTGTGTTAGAGGCCTTACTAAGAGAAAAATAAACAACATCCACTCTTCTCCCCCATGGAGCATTTCAGCAAATGGGACATACACACAAGGGCAAGACCAGACGGGATGCATCCAAGGACTGGCTCATCTCCTCTGAAAGCTCTGTGAACTCTGCGTACAGCATAACCCTTCCTCCTCACCTTCCCAGCCTGTTTTTCCTAAAGAAAGTGGAGAAAATGACATGAGACATTTGTAGGATTCGGTTCCTTAGCCCTTATGAATGCTCCTATTGCTTGTTTTCATAGAAAGTAAGTTCAAAGTGATTATTCTTTACCTTCTCATTCAAATACTAGATCAGAGTATTCCCTTATGCTCATTTAGGGCTCTTCCACAGGCCATGTACTGTAGCTTACGTTTTACACATTTTTAATCACAAATACCATGCCATTAATGCAGCTATTTAAGTATAATATTTTTTTTTGTTTACATTCTGCTTTTTACTCACTTGAAAACACGAAACAGTCCTGGTCACATGTAGAGTTTCCATTTCCCATTTCCTATTTATTACAAGCATTGGCCAAGAAATAAAAAGTTATCAATTGAGCCTTTACATTGGTTTTATATCTTTATTTACACAGATAAACTTTTTTTTTTATTCTACAAGTATATTAAAAGCTTGTAATATTTCTTATTTACATACATTGTGAAGAAAAAGAGTCGAGAGACCTGTTGTCACCTTATAAATCTTAGGACTATGTGGTTGGTATATTTAGAACTATCTGTGGTAAAGATTTATATGGGTTGTTTCATGTACAGCTAGATACCACTTAAGAAAGATATTTTGCTCACATAACTTCCTGTGTTAGGTTGATACCAGGTGATTTGTGATGTGAGATTTAAGACATTAGTAAATGTATTCAAAGGAACACTTTCAGCATTTTTACATTTGGCTGCTTTTTGGGAAGACCTTTTGCATTTGCTAACACTGTTTCCTTCTGTTAACCCTGTAATAGATTTTGACCGACCTAGTGATCATGAAGAAGCATTTGCTAGAGATCTGTCAGAATTTCCTTCTTTAGAGAATGGTGCCGGAACAAATGACGACGATGACTCCAGCATCGGTATGCCCATCCAGCAGAAACAAAAAAAGGAACACACGTACTACAAGGTGGATCATGCTTCCAGACAGAGTAAAGACAGACCGTCCACTGCGGGGCTCTCCTTGCCTTTGACCAGTGACCAAACCTTGAATTTAATGAGTGGAATTGCTGGGGATGTCATCGCAGCTGCGGTGTCTGCTGCCATCAAAGACCAGTTGCAGTCTGCGCAGCAAGCTCCCTCACATGCAGCGCCCAGTTTGAGCGAGGAGACAGACACAGAGGAAGCTGATGATTTTGAACTGCTTGACCAGTCTGAGCTTGAGCAGATTGAGAAAGAGTTGGGACTTTCACAAAGCCAAGAAGCAGAATCACAGGAAAAGAAGAAGTCTTCAGGCTTCCTTTCAAATCTGCTTGGAAATCATTAACCTGAAATCACAGCTGGTAACATAGAAGAAACAAAAACAAAACACAAAAAAATATTAATGCAAAAAAAAAAAGGAAAATTCTGAGCTGTAAGCTTTAACTATCCCTTTAGATGTGTTGTAATAATTTCTCTTATGCAGAGTGAATTAACTGGATAAATTTCAGCTGATACTGATAGTTTAATGTTTCTGGTAGTTATACTTCGATGTAATAGCATGGAAATGAATTATCTATCCACTGTTTGGTTGCAGATAAGTGTTGGAGGTCAGTTGTTCAAAAGAGTTGGGGGAAAGGATTTTTTTATCTTTTTGCCAACCATGTATTTTGGGGTCCTGAGCCAAATTTTCCACATGGGCGGTTTATTTGCCCTGGATTGCCAACCATTTAATACAATCAATGATTCACACAGCGAGGGTACTTTATCAGAGAATTGCCATGAGATTGAACTAAATCTCACCTCTTTCAATCCTACCGAAAAGTATAAAACCCCTGCAGTTAGCATTATGTATGGTACATCCAATATAGATGAAACACATTAACCAGCACAACTCCAGTTTAAATATGTGTGCAACACTATCAAAGAACTTGATTTCACTCTTAAAACCTTTAAATCATTTTGGATATGGTGATGCATTTCCAAGGTTTTTTTGCTGTTTTAGGCTTGTAGAGTTGTAAAGTGGTATGCTATTCAGCTGACTATCTGCTGCATTCCTTGATACAGTCTGGTCCTTGGCAGTATTGCCCATGTAAAGTCAGCCAGATTTTTTTAATTAAAAACTTAGTATCATGTAAACCAAACCACATTTTGGTTGGGAGCAGGTGAGGGGAGGAATTGTTTGGAATATAAATTAGAGATTAAAAAAAAAAAATAAGAGAGGCAATTTTAGGTGCCACTTCCTTAATTCCAGATTCTGTGGGGTTCGGTTTTTTCCCCAGGGTAGCTGCCATTGCTTGCAACAAAAGTTGTGTTGCAAGGTGAGTATTTTAAAATTGTATTTTATGAATTTATTAAGAAAGCATTTGGTGAGGTCATTTGATAAGAAAGACACTCAGAATCTTCTTCTTGGCATGTAATTTAAACAAAAAAGACCTTGTTGAAATTATTTGCCAGTTTAAACTCCATGCATGCTGAATGAATGGCCTAGGAACTTAAGAAGGTAACTTAATTTTTTCTATGGCTTTTTCTTTGTTCACCTGTGATGAAATTGAATTGCAATACCAAGCAATAGTAATCAAAGAAATAGGAAGAAGTAAAGCTATTGTTTTTAATGTGATGTAAGCCATTTGCAAAGTTGAGGGACCATGTCAGCTGCTACTACTACTGAAGTGATTTTCCATTTGCTGGCATTTGAAGAGGTGAATACCATCATTTGGGACCCTCAGAAAGTACAGCAACAGATGATAAAATTCTTTCACTAACATGTATGTGTAGGCAAACCTGTGTTTAAAGTTAACTCCATTGTATTTTATTTTATTTTATTTTATTTTGAGGTGAAAAACAGGCAGATGGCCAAAAAGAGTGTAGCAAAACGGAAAATGCTGAGAATTTTTGACACTAGCTTTATTGTTGCTTGTGCATTTGTGTCAGTAATGCATATTGATCGTGTTTGCTGTCCTTTGCCAGTCAAAAACGTGAGCCTGTGCCTTCATTATCAAATCCATTATGAACTTAGTGGATGCTGGATACAGATCCAAGATGCAGCTTTTGAAATTACATCATCTTGACATTAAAAGCAAGTTTATGGAAATGACTGAAAAAACATGGCCATGTCACTTACACAGCATTGGTTGCAAAGTTTCTTTTTTAGCTTCCCTCAGACTTCCCATTTGAAAAACAAAAACAAAAATAAGCTTTTCCTGGGAAATCAGTAAGTTTAAAGGCCATTTAAATTTCTCAGATGAGTTAAAATGCTTATTCCTTGCTGCATGATTAGGACAATCTATACAGTCAGAAGAGTCCAACTTCCAAGTTGCTGATGAAACTTTGTAGGACACCCAAACAACTGTGTACTTCCTCGGATAGGAGTATACTGGTGCCAGGAGGGAAACAGGCTACAGCACAGGGAGAGAGGTTGGAGGAAGGAAGCAGAGCCTAGCCTAGCCTAGCCTAGCTTTTCTGGGATGGACTGATGGGATGGACTACCTGGCTGTCCGTTATGGCATTATAACAGCGTGCACTTTATTGTTGTTTTATGAAGAATACTTGTGGTCACAAAAATGCGTAATGCAGGGCACTCTTCTAGGGTAATAGTTTAGATCAAGAAGGAAAAGCAGTTGGAGGAGTTTCTTGGACTTTTTGTAAATGATCCATTTTCTGGTTTCAAGATAGAAGACTGATTTTTTTCTCTGGTACGAGTCTTTTTTTTTCAGAAAAAAAAAAGCAAAGCTTGGACAAGCAATCATTAAAGTTTAGGTGCATAATTTTGAAATAGATTTGAGTATCTTCAGAATTTTATTTTCTCATGGTAGTCAAATCCATTCAAGTCCCTAAATACTGTGTAATGGGAAGGAGCTAATACTGTAACATTCAGTATTCTTCCTCAGATAGTGGAAAGGTGTTTAATATTCTGCAGGAAATCACCTCTTTTCTCCCAAAGAAGCACACATAAATACTTTGCTTGGACACGATACATTCCAGTGACAGCAGTTTGACAGCAAAAACTCTGTCTCTCTCCTTTCTGAGATCCCTTGCACACTGCCCAGTTGGAAATCCCTCAAGGAACCCTCACCTTGCTATATACTAGCAGCTGCCACAAAATGGCAGTTACTTCAAAGCACCTGTCACAGTGGTCCACAGCATCTTTCCTACCAAGCACTGTCATCACCTTCTCATCTTCCAAAACTGAATACACAGGCAAGAAGAAAGGCAAGTGAGCTTTGAAGTGTGCTTCTGTTCCACGGAAAGCCTGCTGGTGTGCCATTTCCAGTCAAAAGGCAGCACAGGCAGCAATAGCACATAGATCAGGGTGTGGACATAATGAGCATGGGATAAGAGTGTGATCTTGCTGTGGAATCAGTACTGCTTGTCTTGCCTGCTGTGTTCTCAGCTAGGAGCAAATGGAGGAAGCCATGTATTTCTGCAGTAGTGGGGCTGAAGTGCTCCTCCTCCCTTGCCATGCAGTGGCTTCCTCACACTGTGTGTCAGGAGTGTGTGTCTGTCCGATGCAGTTCAGTCCTTTGTACTTGTGAAATTTCCCCTTGTGTTAGTGCATCTGGGTGACAGAGGGATCGCCATTTGGCCAGTGGGTGGCTTTCATTGTGCCAAATCCAGAATAAAAGCACCTGTTTTCAGCACACGCAACTACTTACTCTTCTTCAGTTTGTTCGGGGAAAAAAAACATATTCCATACAGAGGAGGGGAGATCGTGCTAACCCATAGTAATAGGATCTGAAGAAATACTCGTTTTAGTTGGGTTTTGTCCGTTTTGCACTATTCCCAGGCTGTCTAAGCCTTCTGAACAATTTCCTTGTAGTCTCCTTGTCTGTTCTCAGCATACGAGCAGTGTCAACAGTCTGTGATTAGCACCTGTCCAGGTAACCAGAAACTGGAAAATTACAAAAATGTCTTTATTTAAAGTATTTTGCAGCACTTTACCTAGCCTGATTACTATTTTGTAAACATCGAATTATTATATTGATTGTTTGTAAAACCATTTAATAAATATGTGTTAGTTTTTATCTTTAATCTTGTTGAATTGTATGTTTGTTTCCAAAGTAGGAAAAAACCATGACCAAACCCCACAAGGACAACACCAGACCCCCTTAGCAGGGTTTCTGCTGATGTCTGTTCCCAGCCTGACCTGGGCTTGCACCCACTGAACCTGTCTGACAATGTTACACGGTCTTATGTAAAGGAAAGGGACCTGGGGTGCTGACTGACTGCCACTGAACATGAGCCAGCATGTGCCCAGGCAGCCAAGAGGAGCAACAACATCCTGGCCTGTATCAGAAACAGTGTGGCCAGCAGGGGCAGGGCAGTGATCATCCCCTCTGTACTGGGCACTGATGGGGCTTCACCTTGAATCCTGTGTTCAGTTCTGAGGCTCTCTCTACAAGAGGCACTGAGGTGCTGGAGTGGGTTCAGAGAAGGGCAGCGGAGCTGTTGAAGGGTCTGGAGCCCGTGTGATGAGGAGCAGCTAAAGGAACTGGGGTTTTTCAGTCCAGAGAAAAGGAGGCTCATGGGGGACCTTACTGCTCTCTACAACTGCCTGCAAGGACGTTGTAGTGAGGTGAGGGTCAGTCTCCCAAGTAACAAGCAATAGAACAAGGGGTAATGGCCTCAAGCTGCGCCAGGGGAGGTTTAGTCTGGATATTAGGATACATTTCTTCACAGAGAGAGGGTGACCAGGCATTGGAACAGGCTGCCCAGGGCAGTGGTGGAATCACCATCCCTGGAAGTGTTCAAAAGCCGCATAGGTGAGGCACGCAGTGACATGGTCCAGTGGTGATCTTGGCAGGCCTGGGATAATGGTTGGACTTGACGATCTTAATGGTCTTTTGCAACCCCGTTGATTCTGTAATTCTACTTCAGGATCCAGGCTGCAGGAGAGCTGGTTAGCAGCGGGGGCACAGTGCTCCCCCGGAACCGCCATCTCCCTCTGGCGGTGCAGCGGGTATGGGGGCCGTGGGGCCTCCGCGGCGGCAGGGGGCGGCAGCGGCGCGGGGTGGGGCTTCCTTGCCGGAAGAAGGAGGTGTTAATCTGCGTGGGGGCGCTTGGCGTGTTCTAGCTCCGGCGGCAGGGGCACGCAGGGGCCTTTCGCCCTCCGGGTGGCAGGTGGGTGTCCCGTGGGGCTGGGGGGCGGGAGGGGCCGCGGTGAGGCGGCCAGGCCCGGCCCGGCCCGGCTGGGCACGACACACCTCCTCTCCACTCTTATCAGGAGTGGCGGGGGAAGGGCGAGGCCCGGTCCCCACTGCAGCGGTGGGCCGCGCGGGCCGGGGGATGCGGATTGGGCTCCCGTGAGGCGGATCCCCCTTGTGGTGCTGGTCCGGGTGAGATCTGGCGGCAGCGGCAGGCTCCGTGCTGCTTTGGTTCAGTTTATTTCAGTCGTTCATGTCTCCCCCGGTGTAAGCAGTGCGGTCAGGTTTTGTGTCCGCATGGTAAGTTCAGGCCTGTCTTGTGTCAGTCTTACGGACACCGGATCAATTCAGATTCACATAAAAGCGACTAAAAGCAGGCGTTGTAAAGGCCCTGTGGGGAGAACCAGCCTGGGGCTGAAGGCTTGTGAGTGCCTCGGGCCTTGTTTTCCTGAGCCTCAGTGCTTTGGGTTTGCGGGTGAGAATGCCCCGGAGTGAAGGGCAGAGCTGGCAAAACCTCGCGGGGTTGTGCAGGGCCTTTTTCTGCTTTGCACAGCTGGAGTGGTAAACGTTATTTCTCTACTCAGTAGTCAGACATGGAGATTTATGCGTTTAGATCCTCTCAGTTACACACCTTTTCTGGTCTATTTTGGGTTTCCTTATTTTCAGTTAACCCCTGGGTAATCTAGTGTGTAGCAGCTGTCTGCCTGTAATCATAGAATCACAGAATGGTTTGGGTTGGAGAGGACCTTAAGGTCAGCTGATTTCAACTCTCTGCCAAAATAGACCAGATCAGACTGTTCTGTCCCTGAGGTTTCTGTAAGGATTTTGTGATGAACACCATAATTCCGTGTCCGTTGATTTATGGCAGCAAAATACTTGCTTGGACTGGGAAAGGGATAGGGAGCTCTGCTGGCGGGAGGGCAGTCCTTCAGGGAGCAGTCAGGATCCTTTGGAAGGCAGAGAATATATTTTCCTCTGAAATAAATTGCATCTGTTACACTGAAAAGGTGAATAACGCTATTTCAAATAAAATATCATGGCCTTTATTTTCTGTTAATGTATTCTTTGTCACCGTAGGATTACAGATAGCGCAGCAGTGAAGTCCAGTTCTTCCAGGGAACAAGCGTTTCATAAGGTACCTTTCAACTCTGTATATTTGTGTCTTTCATTGCTACTTCTCCCTGTTCGTGGAGGGCTGCCATTCCTCTGCCTGCTTTCAGACCTCCTCCTCCTGATGTATTAGTTGGAGTTTTTTTTTCAGATTAAACCACTATTTTTCTAAATCACTTAAAGGATGGGGGTGGCTTTAGTGATCTCCAGTTAGAACATGTGTTTTTTGCTCTTTGCCTTCAGAGTGTTCAAGTGATTCCACCAACTTTGTTTAAAAGGAAGAAAAGGTCAAATTTCATTAAGCACTGAAAAGGAAGGAAACTTGTGGCTTTGGAAAAGACAGCATCAGGGACAGGTCACTGCCCTCCAGGTCTCCTTTGACAGCCAGAGTAACACAGCTGAGATGAATGGTGGGAAGTGAAGGAATACCAGGAGTGGGAGTGGCTTCAGGCACTACGTGTAGGCATAGCTGACCGTATTTCCAGGTTAGCAGTTCTGCAGTGTGAAGTTTGTTGACAGAACGTGCACTGTACTAAAATAGCTGGAAGGGTTGTATTCTTAAATGTGATACCTTTTTTCCCATCTGATCAGGCTGTGGAAAATGGGAAGTGGGCATGAAAGCATGTTTTCCCATTTTTACCCTTGTCCTGGAGCAGTCACTGCTCTCCACAGAAGCTTGATAAGAAACATTAGTTTCTCATTCTCAGTGAAAAGTGCAGAGCTTTTGAAGCGCTGCTGCCAAGGCTGGGAACCCTCTCATCCTGTGTCTTAACCTGGGTGTGCACAGTGCGTGCTAAGTCCAGAGCTGGCATCCTCTTGGCAGCTGCTGTGATATGAGTAATCTCTCATAACTGTATCAAAGTCTTTTCTTTTTTCTTCCCTTGTCCTGGTGTCAGTACATAACATGCTGATTGGTAATCTTTGGCAATCATAGAACCATAGAATAGTTAAGGTTGGAAAGGATCTTAAGATCATCTTGTTCCAATGCCCCTGCCATGGGCAGGAACACCTCACACTCTGTCCAGCCTGGCCTTGAACACTGCTGGGGATGAAGCATTCACAACTTCCCATTCCAGTGCCTCACCACCCTCACAGTAAAGAACTTCCTCCTTATATCCAATCAAAACTTCCCCTGTTTAATTTTGAACCCATTATCCCATGTCTTATCACTACAGTCCCTAATGAAGAGTCCCTCTCCAGCATCCTTATAGCCCCCCCTTCAGTTACTGGAAGGCTGCCATGAGGTCTCCACGCAGCCTTCTCTTCTCCAGGCTGAACAGCCCCAACTTTCTCAGCCTGTCTTCATACGGGAGGTGCTCCAGTCCCCTGATCATCCTCATGGCCCTCCTCTGGACTTGTTCCAAAAGTTCCATGTCCTTTTTATATTGAGGACACCAGAACTGTATGCAGTAATCCAAGGGGGTTCTCAGGACAGCAGAGTAGTTTTCTAATAAATTTAATTCTGTACAAGAACTGTATATCTTATGCTGCCTTACATGGGTGCTGCCAGCATGTTGTGTTTGGGTTTTTTTGCGGCTGTTACTTGCCTTTGTTATCATTATTATTATTTTTCCCCCCAGTTTCTAGTAATGGCAACCTACACTTGCATCACTTGCCGCGTGGCTTTCAAGGATGCTGACATTCAGCGTGCCCATTACAAAACTGACTGGCATAGATACAACCTGAAGCGTAAGGTCGCTGACATGCCTCCTGTCACAGCTGAGAACTTCCAAGAGAGAGTCCTAGCGCAGAGAGCAGTGGCAGAGGAGCAGAACAAAATCACTGCCACTTACTGCACAGTTTGCAGCAAGCGATTCTCCACCTTCAATGCCTACGAGAATCACTTGAAGTCCAAGAAGCACTTAGAGTTGGAGAAGAAAGCTGTCCAAGCTGTCAGCAAGAAGGTGAAAATACTAAATGAAAAGAACCTGGAAAAGGGGCTGGCTCCAGAGAGTATAAACAAAGATGAAATGAATGCAGCTATTCAGCAAGCCATCAGAGCTCAGCCATCTTCCTCTCCAAAGAAGATGCCTTTGCCTCCTAGTGATGCAAGTAGCTCTCCTGTTTCTGTGGTAAGTGCCAGCTTATCACAGAGTAGAGAACGATCGGAAAAACCTCCACGGCTACAGTGGTTTGAACAGCAAGCGAAGAAGCTGGCCAAACAACAGGCAGAGGAAGAAGAGGATACAGAAGAAGGTAAGGCAGTAAACATACTGACAATAGATAGCTTGGGTTAAACAGTTTTGCATAAAAACCTCTTTATATTTTTGCAGTAGTACAGCATTTTCCATCACAAAAGGTTTTCCTGTTCAGTAAATTAACAGAGGAGTTAAGGTTGGTCTATGGTTGCTGTCAAGGGCTCTGTGTCAGTGTCTGAGCTGCCAGTTGTCAAGATATTAATGCTTGTGAAGGTTGAATATAAGCAGTTACTAACTTGAGCACTGTTTCCCGTATGAGAATCCAGGGGCAGTTTCGTTTAAGGGAGGCTAACGTAAAAGGTTACGCTAAAACCACTTCTGAAAAATAGATGAGCAAAAGTCCAATCACGATCATTTGCTGTTCTCCCACCAGTTGCTTCACTGATCTTTTGAAGGAAGTGGGGCGGATTTTGCTTTTCTCTGCCTGTCAAGACCAGTGGAGAAGGTCTGCCTTATGCTGTGTGGCATAGCTTCTCAGCCTGTCAGCATCTGTATTAAAACTGGTTCAGGAGTTGCCACCCCAACTGTCTTTTCCTGCTGCTTTTCCCTCACCACTTGTGTGGAAACAGGTCTTTGTTGGAGGTCAGCCTAGAAAGGAGACAACTGAAAAGATCAGAGCTTAAGATTTCCCAGAAAAGGCTTATTTGTAACCTGGATGCTTTCAGTGCTGTAATTTACAGTGCAGCTCCAAATGCATCTCTCTGAGCAGCCCAATGGGGTGATTAAGCTGCAGCAAGGGGGCAGGTGTGAATGGAGTGGGACCACACTACGCCTGCTCCATTACTGAAACCATTGTGTCATGTTATTACATCTGTTACAGCAGCTTTATGCTGGTGAAATTTCAGTTGCAGTTGGGGGAATCTAATCTACAGAAGTGGAAGCATATACCTCTGAACATGCTTTTTAACATCTAAAGAAGGAGCCAACTTGCACCTGTTTTGTATTAACATGTTAGTCATAAACTGTAATGCTAAAATCCTGGTGGGTTTCTGAATGTTAATTTTTTCCTTTTAAGCATTTGTCCAGGAATGTTTCTTGCAAGTCCTGTTAATTCAGTGTGAGGCTTTTAAAATTACTGAGCTATTTCCTATAGCAGAGTTCTCTAATTATCATTCTACAGCACTGGGGAGCACTGTGTTCCGTGTTCACAGACACTGTGCACATGGCAGTTGAAAGGGACCAGTAGGAATAGAGTACTGCAAAATGCTCACTGCCCCAGGTCTGAACTCCTTAAACGAGATTTCTAGACCCCTCTAGAACTATAATCAGATTGCTGGTTTGTTTATCCTTAATCAGCTCTGCAGTGATCTTGCAATTGTGTAAATTTGTTAGTATATCTTGGTGTGTACTAACACATAGTTTGTCTGTGGCAGCTGGCTTTGTTCTTTGTTGTTAAAGTTGTATGTCTGAACAGGAGTGTGGTTCCCGTCACTTCTGGAAATGAGTATTTGCATGATTCTGGCAGAGTTGTATTGTTTTTAACGAGCCATGCTTGCATTCTTGTGCTGTGGTGAATTAAATTTAAGGCTTCATAACAGCAATAAAGTGTTAATAGTTGAGAAAATGGAGGGGAAGGAATACTAGAATTGCCAGCTTTTTTTTATGAGCAGACTTAATCTTTGATGTGCATCTTACAAGAAAAGATGTTTTACTGGCAGTTGTATATTCTTGCACCTGGAAGTGACTGTGGCACTTAACTGTAAGAATAAAAAATGCAGTATTTTCTGTGATAACTTTTTCTAGCTTAATTGGAACTCCTATTGCTTGGGACAAGTAATCATATAAATAATTTTGTTTTAAAACTTCCTTTTAAAGACTGGGAAGATATGGATTCTGATGAAGAGATTGGCTCTGAAGAAGAGATGGAAAGTGCGGGAGAAGAGGATGGGCAGACAGAAGCTGAAAGCACTCCTGCTGCTGGGGCCATACCAGTCACAGACTGCTTATTCTGTCCCCACCATTCCAGATCTCTCACAAAAAATGTGGCACATATGACAAAAGCTCACAGTTTCTTCATTCCAGATATAGAGTACCTTGTGGATCTCAGAGGACTAATCAAGTACCTGGGTATGCCTGCAAATGTTCTTCAATTTCTTTATTGCTACTTTCACTTGGATATGAATTTAAAAGGTTTTGGGGTTTTGGTTGTTTTTTTTTTTAGTGTAAAAATCTGAGTGCTGTCCAGTATTTTGATCATGAACATGACCACAGTCTTTCTGGGGAGAGTAAGAGAAAACCTCACTAAGCAAATGTGGTCTTGTACCTGTATCAGTTTTCTAATTCTGAGAAAGCTGTCCAACTACATGTAATCTAGGGCAAAACTCTATTACTAAAGTGTGCACATGAACTACTAATGGGTCACAAGTATTTGCCTCATTGTAAGTGACCTAAAAGCCATAAAAAAAATGTATCTTCCTTGAAGCTTACAAGTAATGGAGAGTAAAGTAATTTTGAAGTATTAGATGGAAAACTGTTGGAAGTATGAAATTTGTCGGTGAGAATACATCTTGATCAGTACCTTGTCATAAGGAACCTTTAAATGCACAGATTTGTCCTTGATGGAGCCATATGGTCAAGGCATAGGAACAGCAGGCGTGTTGTAGAAATGAAGGGCTCAAGGCTCTTGCTTGGTCTGTCTGTCTGTCTGCAAGCTGGGAAGCTACACTACAGAAATGTTAATTATTGACAAGGGAGGCTCTGTTCAGACCAATAGAAGTGTTAATGTTTTCTGCAGGAGAGAAAGTTGGCATTGGGAAAATCTGCATCTGGTGCAATGAAAAAGGGAAATCCTTCTACTCTACAGAAGCAGTACAGGCTCACATGAACGATAAAAGCCACTGCAAACTCTTCACAGATGGAGATGCTGCCCTGGAATTTGCAGACTTCTATGATTTTAGGTGAGAAAGCCTTTCTTTGAGTGGAGCACAGACTGGGACAGACAAAAGGGCAGCTGAATATTACATCAGAAACTATTATTAATTCTTAAAATTTCATCCTGTTTCTGATTCTGATGCTTATTTTGCATAGCTGGTTCATCACTTTTCTAGGTAGCATAACATGATGATTGCTTATCCTCTCCTGTGACCACTAATGCCAGATCTACGTGAAAATATACTTCAAATTCTGTTTTGTATATTTGCTGTTATTGAGTTTAGATTTCAGTTCACCAGCAAAGACCATAAAAGGGTGTAACTGTCTCTTACCTTTTAGGTGGATTATGGACTTAATATGTACGACGGATTTTTTTTTTTAGTAGCTGGAGTTAAACAAGACTGCTGAGATTTAAAGGCTTTTTGTTCAACTTCCCATAGCATATCCTAAGCTGTGTTCATTTTGGTCAGAAATACCTCCTATTATGGTAACAGATTTAGTGGAGCTTCTTGGAGCACTCATTTAATGGTTGTGCAGAGCAGGTGGGCTGCACAGTGGTGGCTTTTCAGCCTAACTTACTGTTAAGTGTGTAGCAGCAGAACTATGCTGAGTTCTGCACATAGAATCAGGTGAAGGATGGGTGGACTTTGTCTTCGGCCTGTATTCAGGGCACAGTGCTACTGGAAAGAGCTCTCAAACCAAGATGAAGGAAACTTAACAGTATCTGTGGCTTGCTGTAGCTGTGTGTGGCAATTCTGTGTAGTGGTTCTGAATAGTTGTAGCTGCTCACCATGTACAAACAATGTACCGCTACTCTTCTGCAGGAGCAGTTACCCTGATCACAAGGATGGGGAAGATGTGGAGGTGCCTGGAGAGCGCCCAACAGAGAGAGAGTTGGATTATGATGATGACACCATGGAGCTGATCCTTCCTTCAGGTAGTTCAGGCATAGTATTTGTGTTACAATGTACGATCTGCATTTCTTATAGCTGCAGCCTTTTCCTGCAGCATAGGTCACCGTTTTTTCCTTTGTTGAGAGAAAGTAATTTTGCATTTGTCTTTGGGGTTTTGTCCTCATCTTTCATTGTTTCCATTACCAAGTAGTTCAGCTTTTTTAGCATTAATGTGTACGTGGACTGAGGCAGGGGGTTCCTTTGCTCGCTTTACTTCTTCATTGACATGTGACTCTCATGGTATACTCTCAACATTTCTATATCTTGTTTCAGTGCAACTTGAAAAAGCTGTAACTGAAGTTATCTAGTGTAGGTATTTTTTAGGGAGACAGCTGGTAACTAATATAGTAAACTATTCAGAAAAATTATTTGTTTTTCTGAAAACCTTTCTCTTGCCTTGTGTAGCATTTGTCTCTCTTGCTTACTTATATTTGGTTGGTTGGTTGGTTGGTTTAGTGGGTTTTGTATAATGGGACTTCAGTCCTTTCATTCTGAAAAGTGCTGCCAACTATGTAGTTACAGACAACTTCCTGAATGTCAGCAAGTTACTTCCCTGTTACTTTGAAACAGCATTGCCTGTGTGCTCCTTCCCCTAATTAAAATACAGTTTTCTGATAGCTGCCTGTTTGTAGCTAAGGCCGTCTTGAACAACAGCATTCTTTGGTTTTGTTTCTTCAGGATAGAGTGCAGTATGGCACCTCTTACAGTAATTGCATTGCGTGCTTAATAGTCCTAAAGCTTTTAAGAATTTTTAAAAGCATTTCTCAGCACAGGTATTTTCTACAGTTTTCATAATATGCTGAGTCCTACATTTCAGAAGCTGCTTCATTATACATAATAAGATGTCCCCTCCTCTGAGCAGGTGCAAGAGTGGGTCATCGTTCTTTAATGAGATACTACAAGCAACGATTTGGTCTGTCAAGAACAGTGGCCGTAGCAAACCACAAGAAAACAGTGGGTCGGGTGTTGCAGCAGTACAGAGCTTTGGGCTGGACAAGTCAGACAGGTGAGTTACAATGTGGGGTTTTTGCAGAGGAAGAAGTTCTAGGGAGTCATCACTCTGCAATTATATAGGTTGAATCTGTTTCACGTTTGAGGTTTTATGCAGTCTCCCTTATATTTAGTTTGAGGTTTTATGCAGTATCCCTTATATTTAGTTCCCTTTCATTTCTGACATCCAAACAGAATAAATTATAGGAAGCTGTATGCGTCTAAAACCCATTGCAGCTTCTGTGCAAGCCTTTCAGTGCATTAGCATGTGTGTTTTGGTATTTGGTGACTTTGTAAGATTTGTTGGTTTCTGCCATCAAAACCACTGCCCTTGCTATTTAATAATATTAACATAAACCAGTCTTTCTTTGACAGTAGAATACTTTTCTGACTGGGGAGCAGTGATGTGGTCTATATCCACTTTTGAAATAGAAGAATCACACCCACCTATATGAGTACTGGAATGCAAAACAACCTTTTCCTTTAATCACAGTTGTGGATATTCATAGAGGGAACTGACTTTGCCCAAGAGAAAAGTGAAAAGGAACATGCCAGTAGGGGAAGGAAAACATACAGCTGACTACTGCTGTAAATGGACAGATGTGCTGGTTTGCATACAAGTTGCTTACATTTACCCATCTTTCTCTTCCTCCTCTCTCCCTGAAGGCGCAGCCTATGCTCAACAGCGTGATATGCAGTACCTGCAGAGGATGAAGTCAAAGTGGTTGCTCAAGACAGGAATGAGTAACAATGCTACAAAGCAGATGCATTTCCGGGTGCAAGTCAGATTCTGAGTTCCCAAGAGAGCTGCATGCAACTGTTTTCTGGAAAGAGGGATTTAATGGCTTCTGGCTTGAGGATTTTGTTGCTAAAATGGACTCGGTACTTACCAAATGGGATGTGTATGCTGGTGTGCCTTCCTGTTTATGGGAAGAAGAGCAGGGAGCGTGTCTCTTCCAGTGAGATGAAGGTTGGCTTAACTTAAAAAATAGAAATATGTTAAATGGGATATGTGGCAAAGTAGTCCCAGCTGTTAACTGTGGGGTAGTTGATGTCATTTGTCTGAATGTCTTCATTTTCCAGTTCTGCAAAATGCCAAGAGAAGATCCTAGGCCTGGGAGGCTGAGATGCAGTGTGTTGAATGTTTTCAGTGGTGGTACCATATGTAAGTTAGCTGGGTGTTTTGGCTATCTAGCTGGCACTAAAGAGGTGAAAACTTGAGATTGTGGGATGGTTAAGTGGTAATTGGTTGAAGAAATGCACTGATGAAAAATAGAACTCCAGGATTAATACTGTCCTCAGAAGTTGACTGTGCTTGCTTAATGCTTCATCTCAGGGCTGGATTAATAATTTACAGTGAAGTTGCTTTATATTGAATTTAATCAATTTTCCTACCTAAAATCTGCTCAAAAGTACCATAATGTATAGATCAATGTCAGTCAAAATTTCAGATGATCTTTTAAAGATTTCTGATTAAAACTCTAAATTTACTGTTGATTTCAGCTTTGGTTGTTCCTAAAACACCTGAGTACTGGTGTTTTGTATGATCTTGCTGGAGGAAGGTGACCCCAGGAGGCATGTATTGGCTAGAGTGGAGGCACGGTTTCCCACTGAAGTCGATGAACTGTTACAGGCAGGTGTAGACAAAATCTGCCTGTTAAACAGCTGAGGCAGCAGCACTGCTGTTGGTCCTGGTGCTGTATGTGTTTAAAAGCTTCCATGACCTTACCAGTTCCTCTGACCTCACGTAAGGAGGTGACACACACAAAGGTGTAGACTCACTCATGAAGCCCCTAGCTGTAGCATGCTGGACGCTATGATTGTATGATGCCACGGGCAAATTGGAGTTTGCTTGGCTATGCATTCATCATTAAGGCATTTGCAAGTGGTTACAGTCAGATTGCACTGCTGCATTTTAGGATGACTCTGGATTCCCTGGTAGTGACTTTCATTGGCATGACTTTCATACAAATTTTTCTGCCTCTCTTGTGAATGGGGTGTGCATAATATCAATGGGAATGATAGGGGGAGACTTTGCCTTTTAACATTGTATTTTGACCTCTTAAAATAATCCGCTAAGGTCTTCCTAAGAAGTAAATTCAGGAAAAGTAGTATTGTTGGCATATCAGCACTTCTGAAAGAACAGGGTATTTATGGGACTCTTAGGAAAGCAGTGATTTCACAACGGAGGCGCATCCTATGTATGTTCACATTTCAGTTTTCTTCTAGTGGGTTTTGTTTGCATTATTTGGCTTTACTGTCAAAGTTAGAAGGAGAGCTAGTCTTAATTATGTGACTGAAACTATGTGGATCTTAAGACATTGTATCCTTTACTACACTTATAACCCGGCCCAACTTGCAATTATGGTATGGATTTCTGGCACTGAGGGTATATCCTACTTGTATTTACCAGGCCTCAACATCTAGCCCTTGAACTGCTTGTATCTCTTTCTTAGGAGTTAGAGATTACTATCAAAGGGTCTTATGCTCATGGACAAGTTAAATTGTCTTTACATACGGAGCAAAATGAAATGCCACAAAAACGTAGAATTAGAAGGGCTAGATTTCTTAATCAGAATCTTAACTTGAAGCCTGCTGGAGTGGCTTTGAATACCAGTGTAAGTCAGCAGTGAGCAGCAGAGCAGTTGGTACTCTGTCTGGATCTTTTAGCAAACAGGCATGGAATATCCAAAACTTACATTAAAGACAGTACAATAATCCTGGAAAAGTATTTTGCATAACCTAGTACAGTTGCTGAAGTCCTCGAGGTAGGTGTTAAAGGAGTCTTGGCAGTGAAGGCAGAGTTACAAGGAGATAATTGATTTGATGACAGATGACGTTGTGTCTGTAAGGTTCAGTCTGAAGGTATGCTGAGTTTGCTGCTCTCTGCAGTGTAAAAGCGCAGGCAAAGGAAACTTCTGTTCTCTGTACACACTTGCTCAAAGAAACCTGCTGCTTGTAAAAAGATGGGGATTGCCTGAATTTCCCAAACAGTCTAGTTCTCAAAGAAATGCAAGCAAGCAAAAAAAAAGAATTGGTAGTCATTTGCCAACTCACGGGGAAGCTGAAGGAAGCACATATGTACATAGGATTCTGTCCTATACATCTTCCTTCAATTCAGTCAGAATGGAGAAGTATGGAAGCTACTGGTATTTTACAGGAAGATTTTAACTCTAACCTGAAGTTGGGTGCCTTGGAAAACCAGCAGAGGGCATAGGAAAGCCTTTCCCAGAATTGTTTACTATGAAAATAAAGCCTAGTAAGAGTACATTCATGCACATTGAGAAGGCAGGTCTTGCCGCTAACATGAGTTAGGACTGTCACTGGACTTCCCGAAGATGAACTGCTATTGGTATATTTATGTGGGTCCAGGGAGAGCATTGCTAGCAAAGGTAGCTAAGAACCCTTGATTGTCTGCAGTATTCAGCAACAATGCTGCAGTCTGTGCAGCTTGTAGGTAACTCCAGCTATGTCAAAGCATCTGACAGTATTTTTACTAAAGTCTCTTATAAGTGATACAGTTTAGTCTTTTACCTCCCTGATTAAATCCTAAAGATTGTACGAAGGATAGCTAAGGGCAGTTTTCATTTCCTAAAGGAAACAAAAGTCACTGCTTCCAGCTCTGACCTTGCCTTGTGCTTGTGCTCCTCCACTCTGATCTCACGTTTTCTGGCTCTTAGGATCCAAATGAGAAGGAAGTAAAGTCCAGAGGCAACCAAGCAGATCTGGGACAGTCTCTGGATCTAGTGGGTACTCTGGAACAAGAATTTCATAGTATGTTTGCAATTCAGTGGGTGTGCTGTTCCCAGAGAAGATGATCCGTTCTCAAGCTGGTGCATTCATATTGGGAAAGGCTGAGAAACAGCATAGGAAAGATGTTGCGTTTTGGACAAGATTTGAAAGGAGTTGTGTTTAGGACAAGGTTGGGGTTCTGCATGCCTGTCCATCCAGCAGTAGCTGAATGTTGAAAGGGTCCCAGTGCTGTGTCAGGTTACTGCAGAATGAATCAGCAGAATGAAAGAATTGATGAAGCTGGTAAGAGTATCTGTCATCTCCTTTTGGAAGTATTGCATCTGTTCTGTACACTTACATTATCTAAAAGCGACCCAGGTGGTACTACAGGGAAGAAAGATGTACCCATTATCTGGAAGGGAGAGGTTAGGAAGGAGAGAGAAGCATATGGGATGTAGAGTGGCAGAGACATGCGAGGCTCAGATATGTAAAACAGCCAAACAGCTTATTACACTGAAGCTGCAAGTCAACAGGTAAAGATCTATTTAAAGTGAGCACTCCCTTTAAGAGTGAGTTATTGATCCCTAATTGGTTTCCACAAGGTCAAGGGCCTGAAACATAGAGTTGGGCCGTCGCCCAGCTAACATCTGATGCTGAGATGCATCTGAGTAAGACTCTTTGCAACAACTTCTAAGAGTTGTTTTTTAACTATTAAAACTGAGGCATCCTGTGCTATGGGCTCCATCTGTTCAGGGGTTTGGTCATCTTCACACTATCTGCATAAAGCTGCTGATGGAACACTGCTCTTCAGAGACCCAAGTGGCTTTATACTGTTAAAACCTGTAATAGATGAGAGCCTAAAGATAAGCTTTAGGGCACACCTGACTGAAAATGAAATATATATCTTAAATGCTTTGAATCTTACTGGTTAATTGCTTTAGTCCAACTGACTGCTGTTCTGCAGCTAGAGACTAGCAATGACCAGGCTGTCATCAGATCCTGAATCCTCAGCAGCCAGCAGAGCCTGGATAGTTAAGATGGCTAACATGGCAGCTCATGTCAGAGCAAGCTAGACCATCTCTTTTTCCAGGGATATGACCCAGAGGAAACTTCTTTCTCCTACCACACCCCAAACTACACTCCATAAGATGCAGCAGACTGGCATTTCAGAAGCTACAGAAACACTTAACAGGAGACCTGTAGCCAGTTTTGGGAGAAGGATTCCTGCATGTCTAGGATATCAAGGCTAAAGTCGGAATAAATGTGAGCTGAGACAGGAAGGGAGTCAGAATCACTCTCTTCTAAAAGTAGTCAGCACTTTCAAGTGTGGTTATGTGACTCTCCCCAAAAGCAAAAAAGGATCACTGAACAAGCTTTAAATAATGACATTACCAAACAAACATTTATGTCTTTGTACAGTTCTTTAATGCAAGGAAAAGAGTTGTCTGAGACATATTTTCTAACATTCACTGCACTTCCTGTGTTGGATCCTTATCTGCTTCCCACTTCACTGGATTTATTTTTTCAATTTTTTTTCTTTGCTGAGAATTACAGGCCCTGTAAGAAGAGCACTGCAGGACAGGCTCGCACTAAGCTCTCGTGATGTTTTCCAGCAAACTGGGAGGGACAAAGCAGTCTGCCTGAGCATTTGATCTGTGGTACATCGGCTCAGTGCTGCAGAGGGGATTTTGGCCTTTGCAGTGCGCTAAGTGTCAGGCTCTGCAAACACACACAGGTGCAGCCCCAAATACCTGCTGAGGCCCAGCCGTGGGGTCCTTACCTCACTTTCCTCTGTTACTTTGGCTCTTTTAAGCTAGAGAAGAGAATGTGCTTGTAAACTTCAAGGTCAGTTTGCCTTACATCACTGTGCTTCAACCAAATCCCACCACACAAAACCAATTTCACATTTCCTATCCCTGCCAACAGCTGTTAATGGTTTGGCAAGGTTTATACAGTCATCTATAGGTATGTTGGCTTCTTTTTTTCTGGTTTGGGTAGCTTTCCACCCTTAAATATCTGCTCTTGACAGGTGTGAAAGCAGTCTCTTTTTCCTGGGCAAGAAGTGCCATTGGTCTCGCATGGCTGCTACACTAACGACCACTAATGCCTTAACAGGTAGGGCAACTATGTGTTTGCTTATATTAACATGCTCTGAAAATCTTGATAAAATATACACTGAGGTGTTTCAAAATCCAGACATTTTCTGACATCTTTCATAGGTGCAGTCGTACTTAATTCCTTGTAGGCATGGTATTTCAATAAATCCTGCCCTTCAAGTTGCCATATTCTAAGCAAGCTATGATGATGAAGTGCATACGTCCAAAACACTGCAGGTGAAGAATTATTTCAAGGTTGGGTTTTTTTTTTCACCAAGTGTTAAGCAAAACCAACTGAAATTACCTGAAACTGGCGATAGACCAGTGATAAACCTGGTCTGTTATTTTTATTCAAATGGTACAGGTTGATTCCACATTGAAATGCCTGGTAAATGGCATCATCTTTCTTCATCTTTAATGTAGGATGCTTGCCAGCTGCATTTGCTTTCCTGCTAGTAGAAGGTCCATTGTCCCACAGAGAAGGGAATCTGTAAGGTGTGGAGCTCTGTCCGTTATATGCTTTAAAAATTGGCTGAATAGTGTCAGAAGTCCCATAGTTTGCTGTTCACTCTATTTTTGTTTGCTTACTTGTCTCCTTAGCTGAGCCAAGCCTGCCATAGGTGCATGAGAGAAAGCATGTTACACTGGTTTGTCCTTGACTCAGATTCCAATACCTAAGTCACCATAGTTCTTCCTACAGCACAGTTCCTGACAGAAAAATAGTGTTTTATAGGAGAGGGGAGGAGCAGGGCAGTCATGGCTTAATCTAGTCACTACTTGCAGAACACAAAATGAGGATTAGGTGGCTCAGCTGTGGCCACAGTTCTCTAGCAAGGAGCTACCAAGAACTGATCAACAGGATCTAATGCAACATCTCTCCTTACTGCAAAGTCTGGGTACCAATCTTCAGCCATAATCTGGAGCAGAGAGTCCTCTCCTGAGAGCAGGTGCTTTTCAGGTAACGGACCAGAACTGTTTTGAAGGTTTAAGTGCTTGCAAGAGGGTACCTACTTCTTAGTTAATAGGCTGGCTGTTCAAATTCTTTGTTACTAGGCAGTTAAATATAGAAATCAGCTAAATGCCTCTGAAGTTTTATTTTAAATGAGTCAGTCTTTTGGCCCTATGAATCATCCACTTTTTTTTTTCCCTGTATTGTGGCATAGCT